CAGCAAATGGCTGCCCACTGCTCCGGGTGTGTGTGTGTTCACTGCTGTGTGTGTGCACTTTGGATGGGTAAATGCAGAGCACTAATTCCGAGTATGGGTCACCATACTTGGCCACATGTCACGCCACTCACTCACTCACTGTACATACAAAACTGTCTATTGTAATATACCTGTACATACAATTGTCAATCTGTATATTGTTATTCCCTATGTACTTGTTCTATTTTTATTCTTTCATTATCTAGTTTTTGTCCTGTCACTGTCATTCTGTTGCACTGTGGAAGCTTCTGTCACGAAAACAAATTCATCGTATGTGTAAACATACCTGGCAATAAAGCTCATTCTGATTCTGATTTTAAAATTATTTATGAATTATACATTTTTCACATAAATTATGTTTTTTCATCAAATGCTAAGTTTAAAATTTGCATTAACATATCATAATATGTCACATGATACTTAAAATATTACTTCTAAAAAAGTAGAAGAATGTAATACACTGAATCATCTGATCCTCTCATGCTGGTAAATGGTTGTTGTTAGCTCAGTACACAAAGGAAATAATAATTAGGAGGAGGATTCTAATATGATCCCCATAAGTAATGTATCCATCTGATTAGAGATACAACACAGTATGTACACAACACAATCCTGTAATAAGCTTTTTGAGCCTGAGAGGGAAATGACCCAGAGGACAGTCTCTTCTGTCTCAGCTGTCACTCACCCACTGGTCCTTTCTGATTGGTGAAGATCATGGTACGGTTCGTGCCATCAGTGTTGGCCATGCTGATGTTATTTCCATCAGTCCAGTATAGTTTCCTGGACATGAGACAGTTAAGAAAAGAAGAATGTTAAGCAGGTTATATCCCTTCACCAAACATTCAACTTAATTAACCAGAATAAAATTGAAATCACAATGTGGCCTTGTGCGATTATTAAATCATGATTTAATTATTTAAGCAGCATGTGCTGAGTGCTTCAAAGTGAATGTGCTGCAGTGGTGTTTTTTCTGCAAACGAATCGATGAACAAATCATTTTAAATGAAATGTAAATAAATAAATAAAGTGATTTCTGGGTTACCAAATAAATATTTATATTAATCTGTTATTGTGTCATTAAGAATTATTATGAACCAGGATTATTATAGTTAACTAAAACTAAAACCATTAAAAAACTGTTATTCTGAAATAAAATAAACATTAACTGAAATTACATAATATATCAATGCTACTTATATATTATGTCAATGATACTAAAACAACAAACATGGTGCATGTTTAACTTGCAGGTTTGATTTTTTTTTTTTATATATATATAATAACGTGACTATTTCACTCCATGATTTTACTATATTTCATTACATGCTTTATTGCCACCAGCGTGACAGACAATAACAAAGGAAAATGACAAAAAGCAGTTTGGGCATCAGGTGTCTGTTTATGAGTGTCTCCTGTACAGATAAGTTTCTGGTATGGGCCACATTTAAAAACTCTTAAATATTTAAATTTTTAAATTTTTATTTTTTTATTTTGTGTGTGTGTGTGTGTCTTTTTGCTGCATATTAGATATATTTTTCTCTTTTTCATGCAAAAAACAATCTACTGGAAACTTTCCTAAAGCCTGTACGCTACGTCATTTTGTCTTCCAGTAAAACATGAGAAAACCAGTGTGCATGTGGTTGCATCCTGTTTTGCATCTTTTTTCTGCCTTTAGGAAGTCAGATGTGTTCTTGTGTTAGCGTTCTAGGGTAAATGTCACTAGTGTTTGTGGCACGTGTGGACTCACCCCAGTATGGGATGCAGCACGAGGCAGTAGGGTTTGTCCAGGCCCTGAATAACAGCGTTCTTGAAGGAGCCGTCCAGTCTGGCGACGTTGATCTGTTTCTTATTGCCGTCATAGCTGGTCCAGAAGAGATTACGTGACACCCAGTCCACCGCCAGACCATGTGCGTTGGGAATATCTGATCACACGCAAGACACACAAAATAACCATTTCCAGATATGAACTCTTTGAATCAATATAATCAGATGACAGACAAAGAAATCTAAACATTCAGTGCATTTCCACAGGGATAAACATCTGGATGAAGAGAAAGACGTGTGAGTCATTATTTCATCATAAAACCCAACATGTCTGTAATTTGGTTTTGAGGGCTGTGCTAATTTTACTTAAACAGCACTCTCTAAAAACACACTTGACTGTAAACACGACAGCAGTTCTGCACTGTAAACAATGACTGAGATTCTAATACACACAATAACATAAGATTTAAACAACAACATCCTTATATTCTAAAGTCTTGTGTAAATTATGGGATTGAACTCAATGGGATAGTTCACCAAAAACTGACATTCTGTCATCATTTATTTGCACTCATGTCAATGTTTTTTTTTTTTTGTTTTTTTTTCGAAAATCTTAGAAATCTTGTTGTTGACGGAATGACAGACTTCTGAGAAACACAAAAGATGATATTTTAAATAATAGTTTATTATTTAAATAAACTGTTTTTGTCCATATAATGAAATTCAGTGGGGTCCAACACAACACTGGCTTGCACTGTATGAACAAAAAACACTAAGACATTCTTCAGAATATATACTTTTTGTGATCCACAAAAGAAAGAAAGTCGTACAGATTATACAGATGCATCTGTCATTCCGACAACCATGATTTCAAATTTTCCTCTCAAAACAAACTGGGTATAGTCTACAGTATATGAAGCCAATTATGCTTTTAATCCCACTGAATAACTAGTCACAATTACATTTGGTACATCATAACCAGTATCTGCTTTGAAATTTAAACTTTAAACTAGAGTCCGACCGATATGGGTTTTTGGGGGCCGATACCGATACCGATATTTGGGAGTAAAAAAAAGGCAGATATCGATATATCGGCCGATATTCTTTGTGTATATTATAGTACAGTACCAGTCAAAAGTTTGGACACTTTCCCATTCGTGTGTCCAAACATTTGACTGGTACTATATATAGAATACAGTATATACATAAACAGAATATATATACATAAACACATTTTTTGCAATGATCACTCAAATGTGGTGATCAAACACTTATAATGGTGACAGAGATATATGTAAGGGCATTTAACAATTTAACAATAAACTTGCGATGAGTGCGATGCACAAAGTAACGGGTGGTAGTTGTAACACATGTGGTTTGAATATTTATTTTACCATAGTAACATTTAAATTCTGGCTTAAGTGTACACTCGATTCGCGTTCGAGAGGGTTTCTCGAGCTGAAGGGATCTCCCGAATTTGGTGCGGATCCGCCGCACCGTTATGGAGATATGGCTGTTCAAAGTTTCAATGGCTTTAAATAAGAAAACATTTTTTCAATAAGCTTTAAAGCGTTTCCTCCAGGTCGCCAGTAGCAAACAATGGAGCGCGCTCTGCTGGACAAACTAAGTAATTACACCATTTCAAGCATTTTATCTGCGTTATATGCTCTGTAAAAAAAATTGTCATATCGGCGGCGTATCTGCGGCATATTCGCCGATACCGATATATCGGCGACAGGCTCATATCGGCCGATAATATCGGCTAAACGATATATCGGTCGGGCTCTACTTTAAACCTGAACTTGTCAAAAGTAAGATTTTTTAGTTTTCAGTATTTGAAAGTCTCTTCTGCTCATCAAGGCAAATGTATTTATTTGATCAAAAAATACAATAAAAACAGTAATATTGTGAAATATTATTATAATTAAAGAAAAAAACAGTTTTCTATATGAATATATTGTAAATTGTAATTTATCCCTGTGATATAAAGCTGTATTTTCAGCATCATTACTCCAGTCTTCAGTGTCACATGATCTTCAGAAATCATTCTAATATGCTGATTTGCTGCTCAAGAAACATTTCTGATTATTATCAATGTTGAAAACAGTCGTGCTGCTGAATATTTTTGTGGAAACCATCACATATTTTATTTTTTTAGGATTTTATAATGAAGAGAAAGTTCAAAAGAACCGCATTTATTTGAAATATAAATATTTTGTTGCATTATAAATGTGTTTACTGTGACTTTTGACTAATTTAATTTACCTTGCTTAATAAAAGTATAAATTTCTTAAAAAAAAAAAAAAAACATACTGACCCCAAACTTTAAAAAAAAAATTAGAATATTTAAACTTCTGACTACACAAAATGTAATTATGTGCTAGCCTAGTAATGCTGAGAACACTGTAGCAGTCAACATCAACTGCAGGATATTAAGTGCGATTAAGTGTCCAGCAATGTACATTTCTAATATATATTCATCCCAGGCAGCAAAAGAACAAAGTAATTCCCATATTAAACCAACCCAATGAAACACAACAAATAAAAGCACTGTTTGAGCAGTTATTTTCTGCTGTACAAGTGCAACTGCTTTTATTCCAATCAAACTGAAGTCAGACTGAATGAATGCTGTACCTGCAGACACCACCGTCTCTATTCCTGTGCCGTTGATGAAGGCCCTCTTGATGGTCTGAGTCCGAACATCAGACCAATAGATGCGCTTCTCCAGAGCATCGTAATCCACAACCGTGACGTTGTCGATGTCAGGGACGGTGAAGGAGATGATGTAGTTGTAGTATGGATTATAGATGTCTACTCCTCTTATCTCAATCTGACGGGCGTACAGCAGGAACTGACGCGACTCTGGAAGAGAGACAGAGACACCCGTCATGACTGGGGCCAACAAGGAGAGAAATCAAACCGGTCATAAGGTCACTGTGAAAAAAGATTCCCCCGTGGTAATGAACGTCAGCAGGCTATGAAGATCCACATGGAAATGTCAAACTGAAACATAAATCTATTAATTATAAGAAAGGCTGATACATCTGTGTTTCTAGAATCTTTAAAGCACGCTGCACTGTAAGAAAAACAAATAATGTCCTGGGTGAAAATTACATTACATTTTGTGTTAATACAAATTTCCTCCAACCCTAAACACAACAAAATGCAAATTGCATATTTCACAGTACATTATACCATGTTAATATGATATACACCCATATATACCCTATTTTTACAAAATTTCTTAGGATGTGGTTGCAGTTTTAATACGGAGCAGCAGAGATAAATGGCCTTTCTTCAAAGAGTTTTTATATTATCTATTATTTTATTATTATTATTTTTTATATATATATCATGTTTGAAAGTGCAGGCTTTTTGAAGCAAAGATCTATGAGACATTTGATCCAATGCATATTGTAACGATCCCGGGGTTGTGTCTGTTGTTTTGTAAGGACTTTTATGTTGAAATGTATTGTCAGTTTCCATTATCTCTGTTCTTCCTTCCTGTGTTTGGTTTCTGTTTCTTTGGATTACCTAGTTAGTTTCTATGGTTACCATCATTAGCCACACCTGTAGTTAATTATCCCTGATTTCTCTGAGGATTTGCTGTAAGCTCTTGTGTTTCAGTCATGGTTTGTGAGTCGTCGATGTTTTTTGGTGTTCTTGTTTTTGGTCAAGGTTGCCTGGAGGTTCTTGTTTTGCCCTTCGTGGTTGTGTTCATGTGGACTATATCACAGTTTGATTATCATTATTCAGCATTATTTTAATGTTATTTATACTACTATAATAGTTTTTTTTTATATTCATTTAATATTTTGAAATAGCTTTTATTTCTATAATTTCAGTTTTCATTTTGATATGATTAATTCTAGCTTATTTTTTCGTACTTTTGTTATGTGTTTTTTTTTATAATTTTATTATAGCTTCTATTTATTTTATTTCAGTTTCTGTTTTACTCATTTATATATTAGTACTTTAAACATTTTATTTTAGTTTTTCTATTTTAAATTTTTGTTTAAGTTTCAGTTTTTAAGGCTTTTCTTCTTCTTCCATTCTGGAAGTCTATGGCAGCCCATAGAACCACTTGTTGCACTCATATTTCTGCTACTAAGTTTTGAACTGTAAGGTCTAGATGCAAAATTCTGTTGTTTTTTTTCTTCTTCTCTAATTCATTGGCTCATGCCAAGTCGAATGCACAACAAAATTAAAATTTCTACAGGTTAACATTTTTTGTAATTTTGAATTTTTTTCCTTATTTTTTTCGAACTAATTCTAGACAGTTTTTTTTCACCAAAATTGGCTCAGATCATCTTCAGACAATGCTGGCAAAAAGTTATCAAAAGATTTCCATTAGACCAAACCGTTCTCGTAAAGTGTTGTAACGAATATAACAAAATTCATGCAAAAATGAACATGATGCTATATCCCCACAATGCTCTAGCAGATTCTGACCAAACTTGATATTTGTTATAACAAGCATGACCTGAGGGCACATGAGTAGTTTCGGCACACAGCACTACCTACTGGTCAAAAGATGTAAAAAAAAATTTACATTTCTGTTTATAACTTCTGAACAGACCAAAAATCATAAGGTCTCGTTAGATTCGGAACGCCAGCAGCAGGGTTGGAGAATTGAAGAAAGTTCCTTAGCTCTTAATTTGACCTGTTTTGCTTGACCCCTTAATTGTTGCTTGCATCTATATTTATATTTTATTTCATTATTTCAGTTAACAAAAATATTTTTAATAGTTTTAGTCTGAATTAACATTATCACTGCTAGTTTTAATTCGTGCAGGACTCTATCAAGAAACCCATTTAAAAAAAGCAAGATGTAAAACTGCATACAACACCGTTTCCGTCAAGTTGCGAATAAATCAGAAGACGAGCTCTAGTTCATACCGTAGCAGGTGTGGTTGTCCTCACTCAGTCTCATGAGGTGTGGGCAGGCACAGGAGAACGTCTGATGGTAGTTGATCAAGCACAGGTGAGAACATGGGCCCAAACCACCGTTAGCAGCACACGGGTTCGGCGCTGGAGAGAGATGAGCGGCGGTGAAGTATTGAGCTTTACTGTGTCATTACCACCTTCAAATTTATTTGCGCCACCAAGAAACCAAACCAGCTGAGACAGGAACCAATGATAGACTAATGCAGATTAATTGGCACGACGTTTGGCTATTTTGAGGTTATCGGCATTTGCGCTTATTTGAATGATTCATGATCTCTATCTATGCTGTTTGATAAGGGTAGGAAGTATGATGAAAAGGTAAGTAAGAATAAGAAATCCAAAGGTTATGGGTTCAAAGCAGATAGTGGAACTTTTGAAAGCATGTCCAAACCAATTCATCCCGTGTGTCTGCTCCTGTCAGACATGAATAAACAGATGTCTGCCTCTATAAGATGAAGTCGCTGAGCTAAACTATCATGACAAGTTTATTCACATGCTGCTTTATTAAGCGCCAAACACTATCAACACATGTGTCCATCAAGCAGACAGGCTCCTCCCTCAATTTGACCTGTGATCTTTCACAAAATTTAAGTTTACTCAACAATTAATAAAACAATAAAACTTGAAATCAAATGAAAACAAAAAATGAAATGATCTATGATGTCCAGACAACAAGGCTGTAGCTCAAAGTGACACTTTATATTGAACACTGTGGTGTCTGGAATCAATTTAGGGGTGTTTAGAATGAAAACTGATCAAATTAATCACTAGAAACGTCTTCAGCGTTACATGTATACTTCATGAATAAGGATCCCAGAATGCATTGCGATGAGCTCAAAAATAATTCATGAAAAATGCACAAATTTTCCAAATATGTGTGTTCAATGTATCTTTTGCAGTTAAGACGACTGCTGTTAGCTTAGGAACATGCTAACATCCCAAGAGCTAACTTCACAAACCAGTTAAGCTCAAACCCGACCCCACAGCCGAATTCATGGCTCAATCATGCATCAACAATAGATTAGATTTCATGTATTCAAAAATCACAGATGCATCTGATGACAACAAACAGTACTGCTATCTATCAATATGTGCTACCAATGCTATACTAAGGTTAAGGATAGGAGTTAGTATTTGTTTCAGTTTTATGTAGACATTCAGCACTGTTATTGACATGAACAACAAGGTTTGCATTTAACTGGTTTGGGGAAAAATCATGGTTTTGGAATCCATTAGAATCAAGCATTTTGAATCAGTTACTCTTTACGAAAAGATCCTGTGGTGGTACTGTACACTTGACGGTATTAGATGGTAATAACTTCGATATATACCACTGTTTTCCTTTGCCGTGTGAAATAGACATTATTAACATCGCTATCAAAGTAACTTTGAAATAAAGTTTGAAGATCACCTTGCGGTTGTCTAGAGGGGTGGTACACCTGCAGATCGAAAGGTTGCGTGTTTGTTCTCTGAACCACAGTGACATTGTTTCCTGTCCATTTGTTGGCCTTGGCCAGTGTGTTTGTGCGCCAGTCTGTCCAGTAAACCTCTCCGCCATACATCGTCACAGCGAACGGATGCGAGAGATACTCATGTCCTCTGAGCACCTCGATCAGTCCCGACCCGTCATACTTGGCTGAATAGATTGCATCAGATCTGAGACACAAGACATAAATAATTCATTTCGATGGTCATTCATTTCTGATAGGAAGCACACTCTCTGATATTAGGTAGATTTTAGCTACCAAATTTACAAAACTTTAAATTCCAATCCTGCTCCTAGAGTGTCCATTTCCAGCAGAGTTCCAGCATGCCTGAACCAACTATTCAAGGTCGTCAGGATCACTAGAAACTTCCAGGAAGGTGTACTGGAACCAGGAGTGGGACTGAACATCATTGGGTCAGGGAACTGTTTGGTTTGTTCTAGGACCAACTTCCATTGATCCAGGAGCTTGTCCATACACCACATTGGCCTTGTACACACCGTAAGGTTTTAGGAGCGACAACCACATTTAAATACGGGAGTGACACCCCTAAATTACAGTTTCGTTTGTATACAGAATAGAACTCACTTTCGAAATTGCGACGATTGACACCATTGTGATCTTAGCAACGTTTTGCCATCTCACGCATATGGAATACGCTATTTTTGACCAAAGTAATATTACAGCGACCAAAGACTCATCATGTTTGGTGATTTTAATGAAACCACTGTCGACAGAGCTGTCATTATTTGTTTATGTTTGGAAGGCTACTTTTCAGAGCGCGCTCTTTAAGTATTGCCTTGTCCACTTATTACAAACATTGTATATTAAAGGCGCTGTATGTAGGATTGACACCGAGTGGTTGAACTAGGTACACATTTTCAAAGGAGAATAACTGATTGTGGCATTGTTTTTCAGATAAACAAGTATACTAACTTAGCATGTTTCTTAAATATCTGCAAACATATTATGATATCTGTATGCTTTAGTAGAGTCAAAAACTTACATACAGCACCTTTAAGTGTCTTTGGACTCAGCAAATAAAGCAATCCAGTTTATGGAGTTAATAAAGTAGGCAGGTGCAAGTTGTGATATTCTGGTATGTGGCTTATTTCCAAGATACTGTGTCCGGATTTAAGTTTACTATAGGCTTGTTTTTATTTGCTGTTTTCTTATAACAAGATCTGTCAACACAGAGTCAACATGTACCTACATAGAATTTCTGCAAATGCGGCTGTCACTACCTGCATTTTTCAGGAGTCAATTCAGTTGTAGAATGCGGTAAATTACTGCCGCAAATTACTCAATTGCAGGTGTACAGAACAGGATTAAGTACTAAAAGGTGAATTAACAGCCGAATTTAGCTGCAGTGTGTATGTTTATGAGTCTTCAAATGTTACCTGGCATCTATCCACAGAATGCGGCGCTCCAGATAGTCCACAGTCAGTCCGTTGGGCCATCCTCCACTGCCCGTCTCCTTATGGATGGTGCGTCTGCCATGTCCACTCATGGATGCAGCCTCTATCCTGGGCATTGTGGCATCCCAGTCTGTCCAGAATAGGATTCTACAGAATCAAAGGACAGATGAGGGCTTTTTCAATGCTGCTGTCAAAAGTGTTCTGGTCCCAACATTCTTTATAGAGCTTGTATTCTTTTGTTGTTTGGAAAAGGGCAGAATCAACATTCTTTAGAATGTGTTTTGTATTTGGAACAACATATGGATGAGTAAATGATTTCCATTTTAATTTTTCAATTTCACTCTTTGGTGAACTATTCCTTTAAGAGCACTTGAAACATTCAAAATTAAAAAGTGACTATACAGTGAGATCATAACAGGTCTCAGAAATCAAAGTACAACAATTCTCCAGAAGTAAGCACCTACACAGGCATCTTACAACATTGTTGTTATTAGCTAGGTTTTCATTCACCTATTTTTATGCGCATTTTGGGATATCACATAATAAAAAAAAAAACTATGGATGGAAACGCCAAGATGCACATAAACTCTAAAAATACGCATAAAAAACTTTTACCGAATAAATTCCTTAATGCGCATCAAAAAAGACGTGATTTTGCGATGGGACAGCATCAAACTGGACTAATCAACAGAACGATCTCATTGCACAACATCTGAAATGCTAGTTTTGTCGTTCTAAAATGCTTGAGCAAAGTCTTGTCAAAGTGCTACGTTATAATTAACACCCAGAACTGCATTCCCAAACAGCAGGCTCTGAAAATAAGATAACATGACTCTGCGTGCTCTGAAGCTCGTAATTTATTGTATACAAACATTATTATATACAGTGCCTTCTCGCACTGCAGCAAATTCATTTTTTCTTTGTGATATTTAGCGCAAGTTAATCAGGAAGTGACGTGTTTTATGCGATATTCCAATTTTGCGCATTAGTTTAATTTGAAACTTTGGATGGAAACATAGCTATTGTTAACTAAAAAAAATCGTTTAAGTTTTAAAATTAAAAATTTTAAATTACGTTTATTACTTTCGTTTTCAACAAGAAATACAATTAAATATAAATGAGGAAAAACTTAAACCTACAAAAATGAAGATGAAAAATGTTGCTTGGCTACCTAAAGTTAAATGTACTTACTGAAATATATAAATACAGAATAATATAGAAATATATCAAAAATATAATATTAAATAAGACAAGCACATAACAAATTTACTAAAACCTAAATTAAATTTTAAATGAAACCTGAAAATTGGAACCTAAAAATTAGATCTAATTCAAAATGTTAATAAATACATGAGTGTGGCCGCTGGTGCGAGTGCTAATGAGCTTCATGAAGGAGCTCCGGAAGGAAAGCGAGGTCAAGGCCTGGGAGAAAACAGCTGCCACTTGTTTTGTTTATTATAAGTTTGTAATTAAAGTTTATGTTTATGTTGAGCCTCCTTCTTCCCGTATCTATGAACCTATGAACGAAGTACATAAACAATACTACAATAACACAGTTTAAAAAACACGATATCCTGATGAGGCTCAATACAAGTTTCAGAAGTAAACTTGGGCTGCTTACCCCTCTCTGGGGTCCAGGGCGATGGCCCGCGGATGCTCCACATCTCCAGCTAATAGAGTGGTGCGCATGGTCCCGTCCAGTTTGGCCACTTCGATCTGATCTAGGTTACTCTCCACCCAGTAGATGTTTCCAGCGATCCAGTCTACAGCCAGACCCTCAGGAGTAGCTAATCCATACTGGATCACCACGTCAAAACTTGTCAGCGCTGCTGTGTAAAATAAAAATGAAGGAAAGAGAGGGAAACAGAAAACATATGTATGGGAATTTTTTTTTACCTAACTATTAGTAAATTGAAAAGGTCCATATTATAATTATATATGTGTTCATTGGCTGAATTCATCTTGGAGGGATTAAAAGTCCTGAGATTCATACATTTTAAAACACCAGAATTCATATATATACTGTACACATAACTTACCACCATTCTCTGACAGCTTTCCACGGTAAATTTTGTCCTCAACAACATCAGTCCAATAGAGCGAGCTCTCGTTGAGGTGGAAGTCGAGTGCGATGGTGTTCCTCAGGCCTGGCACCAACACGCTGAACTCTCCTTTGTGCAGATCAATCCGTCGGATCTCATGACGGTTGGAGAAGATGATGAAGGGCTTAAATGGATCTGGAAAAACAATGAACTCACTGAAAGAATGCCATAACTCATGACTAGCTAAAGTAAGGTGCTCAACTGGGCAAGCACTCTGATATTTTCCAACATCATCTGTTCCACAACATGTCTGTAAAATGATGTGAGACTGGCAATCCCATACATGCCTGTGACGTTACCTCTGTTTATCTAAAATGTTTTTATTTCTGAAAGGAATGTGAAATACGTCCAGCAATCCATAATTCATCGTTTGATTGGCTGAGTGGGCTGCTGTGCCTCTTCCTGTCACAGTAAATCTTCAACCCCACCTCCTTCTTCTGGCATTTGCATTCTTTCATTACAAAAATAAACCACCTATTATGCTGCTAAACAGCTCCCCGTCATTTTCTGCATTTGTTCTGTCACACACCAACTCTTAAACTAAAACCTTCTTAGTAGGAAAACAAAATCAACCCCAGCTGCAATGATTTTACAGAAGACCACTTCCTATGTGCGGGTGAAAGTGTTGCTCCAGTGCACATAGCTGTTATCTTCTGCCAAACATTGTGAACCACAACCGTTTTCATATCTAGTCTAGTTTTTAGTTTTTAGCATTTCGAAAGGCCAAAACAAAACAATGCAAAAAACAAAACCATAAATTTTAACATAAACTAATAACATACTAACAAACAAATTAATAAACCTGTAAGACGTATAAGACTAAATGTAAGACTGACAAATATGCATCACATTTATTAGTTTATTATCACATTATAAGTTTATTAGTTTATGCATATATGCAGTTAAAAAAATAAGCCTGCATGTCTTTTAGTAGGCTTTGGAAGAGCTGATCTCACCTGTGCTCCTGCAGCTCTCCATGTCAGGTTCGAGGGCCCAGCCATCATAGCAGGAACATTTCACATTGAACTTGTCCTGTTCACAGCGCTGGCTGCACTTCAGGTGTTTGGCACAGAAGCCCTGGATCTGACACGTTTTGTTGTCAGTGCCCAGTTCCATTCCCAGTGGGCACGAGCACAGAATGCCCTCACCCGGGGCCACTGTGCAGTTATGACTGCAGCCACCATTGTCCAGAGAACACAGATCTAAACCAAGAAACAATGCAGTTAGATGGTAAAAACCTAGGCTTGAAAGTATTTAAAACCCTTCACATTAACATTATAATGCCCCCCCCCAAAAAAAATGTCATTAATTAACTCAACTGCAGGCCACTCAAAATGTAGATGAGTTTGTTTGTTCATGACAAGGCCGCAGTTTAATCACTGTAATGATAATAATGAGCTGTATTCGTTGACGCACACACACGCGCACACGCAGAGATCAGAGATCGCACTGTGCACAAACAGAAACATTCAGGAGCACAGCAACTTGTCACCGCTGCCCTGTGACTTTTATTAATAAAATAGCTTCGATACTGAATCACTACATTATATTTCTCAGCAACAAGGGCATATAGCTGTTTTTGAAGTAACTAAACTCACAGCTTCATTGTTTGTAGAGAGAGACACACAGACGCAGGTAATTCACACATGCGACTCTCTCTGTCTGTCTCTCTCTCTGTAAATTGCCATAGTTTAGAAAAAAGTCAAGCAGTTGCATCACTGAATATAGCTGTCAATCATTTAACATTTCTATCGTATAACAGTTGACTTCTATTAAATGTTTTGCAGCTTCCAGTTTGGCAGATTGGCCATTTCTAATTATTGGGCGGGAATTGTCCCCAGCCCCCAGTGTCTATGGTGATTACAGCCCTAGTTCATGAGAACACATTTGGAGAAATTTAGCCTTACATCACTTGCTACATCACTTCACAAGATGTTAATTGATAGACTGGAGTGGTGTGGATCACTTGTGGATTTTTGTGATGTTTTCATCAACTGTTTGGACTCTCATTCTGATGGCACCCATTCACTGCAGAGGATCCAATGCTGAGCAAGTGATGGAATGATAAATTCTCCAATTCTGAAGAAACAAATTCATTTACATTTTGGATGGCCTGAGGGTGAGGACATTTTCAGCAATTATTCTTTATAATTATACTATTCCTAAGTTAAGATGTATAACCAGGTCTATAAAGCAAGGCTTTTTTTAACTTACAGTATACTTACAGTACCAATTATACAATTAATATGAACTAATAGTTCATTATAATAAGATATGTTTAATAATATAAATTCATAAAACTATGAACAGAAAATGCTTTATTTCCATAAATTATAACTTTACTAGAATTTTGTGTAATCGACAATGCAGCTTTTAAAAACATCGATAACAGTATCAGGCACCAGTAATTATGTACTTCATCCGTGTCCTGCTAGTGTGAGTTTCAGTCTGCACTCAGTGAACATCATCTCAGGCTGCACTGAGCCTCATGTAACAGTGATGAATCTTACCACAGAGTTTCTCATCGGAACCATCAGGACAGTCGTCTTTGCCATCACACAGTTTCTCAGCGGGCAGACAAATGCTGGTGTCATTAGCACACACGTGATGGGAGAGTTTACACACCAGCGCCTCACAGTTATCTTCATCAGAGTTATCTTCACAATCGCTGTCCCCATCACATACCCAAGCCTTACTGATACACCGTGCTACATAACAAACACACAAAAAATATGTCTGTTAACATGATAACTGACAAAAGTAGCGAATTACAATGAAGACCTTGTGATCATGTGAACAATGAAATCTGGGAAAGAGCTCATCTTCATACATTATAAGGTGAATCATTCTTTTTATTTAAATAAATAAATAAATGTTCAAGCTATTTTGAGTGATGACCTAACTGATTCGGTCAATTATTTAGATTAAAAAAATAAGTAAATAAAGCGTCTGAATAAACTTCTATTATAAACTGAAAACCAAAGAATGCATTAGTTTAGTTGGTCCCACTTTATATTAAGTGGCCTTAACTACTATGTACTTACATAAACAAATCAGTACAGTGTACTTATTGTGTTCATATAGTATTGCAAAACACTTTTGCTGCTATTGAGATGGGATACGGGTAAGGTTAGGGACAGGTTTGGTGGTATGGGTAGGTTTAAGGGTGGGTTAAGGTGTAAGGGATGGGTCAACAGTGTAATTATAAATGTAATTACAGAAATTAATTACATATGTAATTTACATGCAGGTATTTTTAAAATATAAGTACAATGTAAAAACATGTATGTACACAATAAGTGCATTGTACCAAATGATTAATTTAAATGTACATACATAGTTGTTAAGGCCACTTAATATAAAGTGGGACCGTTTAGTTTAGTTTATTTTCTTATATAGCACATCTCTACTGCCTTCAAAGCAGCCCAAAGTGCTGTACAATGTATTCAAAAAAACCAAACACATACAATAACAAACACAACATCTTAAAAAAAGAAAACAAACATTACGTCTCTCCTAAATCATTAAAAGAGAGAGGACATTTTATAAGAATGTTTTATTATTGCCTCACCTCACTTGTTTACTGAGATATTTTGCATTTAATTCTGAAAAAAAAATTACCAAGATTGTAATGATTATGACCCATTCACTCGTAAACTCAGTCTACTTATGGATCACTGAATCTCAAGATAAGACAGAATTAGTTTTCTGATTGTTCTGAGAACATCAGACCATTAAATTGAGAAGATATAATGTATAATTTCTTCAACATTACCAGAATCCCTGCAGCCAAACTTTACTGCTGGATCACACATGTGTGTTACACCCTCGCAGTTCTTCTCATCGCTCAGATCCATGCAGTCAGTGTCTCCATCACACCGCCATCGGAGGGGAATACACAACCCGTCCACACGACACTGGAACTCATCTGTGTGACAGCCACCGGGAGGACGGGTTGCTGTGGAGAGAAAAAAAGAGGAATTAAACAGAGATTGTATGGCAATATGTAGTATAAACAACTACACAATCCATAGGTTCATAATTTTCATACAAGATACTTGGTAACAGTTTACACTCTGCAAAAGATCCCAGATAGCGTAGCTTAACCTATAGAGAAGGAGTGTTTAAATCATATGAAAAACCATGGGTGTACCTCAGGGTTCGGTGCTTGGCCCTCTCCTTTTATCAATACACACCACATCACAAGGACCTATTCAGCCAAACTGATTTTCCTAGCAGTACTACACCAATGACAAACAGCTCTAGTTTGAATGCCATTTAAATCTCCAACTTTGTGAAGACAGAGCCCCTCGTCTTCCCAGCTAGCTAGCAATTCAACACAACATAACTGCAACAACAAGAAGTGAGCTATGAAATTTGGGGTAAAATTTCATAATCACAGTATCACGGTAAGATTTGAGTTCTATAATGTCTGGAACTTTATTAATACAATTTCCTACTATTTCCCTGTTGTTTAACTGTGTTACATCCACATCCCTGTCTTAGCTTTCACTTTTATTTAACTCACATGTATTGTGTGACTCCTCGTGTTACTGTCTCCTTAGGATGCATCACTTGCATAGTTATATTCTTTATTTGTAAGTCATTTTGGATAAAAGTATCTCCTTAATTAACAAAGGTAAACACTGCGAGTTCTCTAAAGGCAAATAAAACTGTTATTGTGGTGGTTGTGTGAAGTGGGATTTGTTTGTACTAATCCTTTTTTTAAATTCATCATCGCCCTGTAATGTGGCTCATATCTGATTCTGGAGCTAACCGAGCCAATGGCAAAGACGTTTATCCCCATGAGAGAGAGAAGTCTATATTTGGGTAAAAATATTTGTGGTGTATATGAATACATGTGACATGTGTGATAATAGTAGAAACGTCACACCATGACTTACAAAGAGCAGCACTATATCAAAGCCTAAGAGGTATATGGTGAGATAAAGCAGTTTCATAAATCTGGTCCTGAAGCACACATAACACTGCATATTTTAGATTTTTTGTATTTGGATGACTGTCCAATGAAAGAAGAATGAATAAGGTTCTTACACTATAAATTTTCCCTTACGAAAATTAACTATGGTTTTATTATAGTAAAAGTGTAGTAGCCATGTTTTTTTTAGCGGATTGATTACCATTTGTATATAACCACAGTTTTACTGCAAATAACAAATATATGGTTAAACTCTGGTTAGTGTAGCAAAATCATGGTTAATTTGTGGTTACCATGGTTTAACTACAGAAACTATATATTTTTTTGGTTTTATTTGTGGTAAAACCATGGTTAATTTTTGTAAGGTTAAATTTTGGTGCAAAGCTTCTTGGTATCATCTGACCAAAATAAATAAATAAATAAATAGCCAGACAGACAGACAGAGAGAGAGAGCGATAGATAGATAGATAGATAGATAGAAATCCATCAATCAATCAATCAATATATTCCCATAAATGGCATTTTAGACAAATGAGTCACAATTATGCTTCAGGTCAAACTCAAGATATACCTTTGTGTGGTACTTTTTGAGTGATGACTTCTTTAAAGCCATGCTCCTATAAAGGCCAGTGTTAACCAGCACTCAGGTTAGTTATGATGAGGTTTGGTTAACTAATGAACTCTTCAGTGAATGAATTCTGTAGCTCATTCACAGTCATCATCGGCCTCTCGGTGTATATTTTTTTGTGCCTGGAGTTACTTTATGAGAGATGACTCTTTCTAAATAGTGTGCTGAGAGTTTGGTGTAGCTCTCTCTTCCTGGCAATTGAACCAAAAGCAGGTGCTGCTTAAACATCTAAGGCTGCGTTTACACTGGCACCAAAAATCCGATCTTTCGCTCACATCTGACACAGATCGGAATTTGTTGCACAATTAATTAGTGTGCCTACTCTATTTTAAAACCCACGAGCCGCCACTGCATTTGACGTGAATTATATAAATAATTTAAAAAGCACGGCCATTTAGCCTAAAACCCGAGGGTCTACCATGTGCATAAAGCGATCACTGCAGACAATCCTTTTGGGTGGGAATTAATGTAAACACAGATATCGGATACCAGTCGTGTCTAAAGTGAATGTAAACAGACGTGCCAAAAAATCGGATATGGTCAAAAGATCGGATCTGTGCATTAAGACTTGCAGTGTAAACGCAGCCTAAGAGCTTTCATAATGTTTTCCATTCCTACTTCAACACATTGATGCCGCATGTGAATTAGTCCAAAAGAAGGCAGCACAAGTTTGTTGTCTAGTTTGGCATGGTGTGGCAAGAAATAGTGTCATGAACTCACCCTGGTTAGTGCAGTTGGCATGGGTCTCGTCGCTGTAGTCACCACAGTCGTTGTCTCCGTCACAGGTCCAGTAGTCGGGTATACAGCGACCGCTGTTACATTTAAACTGAGCGCTGGAGCATGAATGACTGCAGCCGGCTTCATCACTGTTGTCACCACAGTCATTGTCTGCAAGAGGTTAAATTGCCAAATATTTGCTATCATCATCCAAAATATAAAGTAAGCCATGCTTTAAAGTACATCGTCAGCCAAAGGTTTGAACACGCTTGACTAAAGTTATGTTTCTTATGATCACAATAAACTTGTTGATATAAAGAATTTTCATTGAAATTAGTTTTGCAGACAAATACTTGGGATCCCAATATTGTTTAAATGCATCCCAGAATGTGCCTCACAAAGTTAAGAGAATTAACAGATTTTTTTAGAGATGTAATATAAGATCGGCTGGAATTGATTTTGGTCACTACATAATTCCCATACTGAAATTTGTGTTGTTCAAATTATCTTTAATATACTTCATTAAAGTAAATATACTTTATAATAGCAAAGATATAGAAAAGGTGTGTCCAAACTTTTGACTGAAACTAAAAAAACCTCAATCATTCGAAAAGAAAGTTATAAGCTACTTTTAATACTTTACTAATATAAAAGTAGCAGCCATGCTGGGAAAATTTTTTCCCAGATATACTTGGCCAACATGGAACATGTCCATGTGAGCTACAGGCTATGATTTAATACAAACCATTTATAATACAAATATACAAACAAGTCAAATATAGGCTGAAATATGAGTATTTCACATCAATACAATGTAGTAAATGTGGCATCTTGTCTTTAGAAGCAGATTTCACAGTTAACAATTTGCAACAATAGAAAATGAATAATAAACATCACAGAAACTGCATAGATCACACATGCACCACTGGAAATGAACACTGGTTAATATTTAATGCTAATCTCTTCTTATGGATGTTACTAGAGGTGTTAGTTAAAGTGAGATGGCCAGCGGCTTGCTTGCTTATTTACTTATTTATATTTATTTTATTTTTTTTTTTTTACTATTGTGGGGCAGGATTTTTCCATAATGTAAGACATGATTTAGAAATAATGAACTGCTGCAGATATTTTCCACAGCCTTACATTTGTTTGAAAATCCTGTTCAGACCTTATTATAATGTTATAACACAAGTAAATTTATGGTGCATGTTGATCTATGCACTAACCAGTCTTGCTCGGACAATTGAACTCATCAGAGCTGTCCCCACAATCCTTTTCTGCAACACACAGCCCATGTGACACAGGGGGAGGGGCAAATGGTCAAGAGAAGAGGACATGACGTTACACAAAAGACACATGAAATGATCAACAAAGACAAATGAGGGAAATCTGTTGAAAAAGTGCAACAGACACAAAAACCAAAAGAGATGAAATCATGTCAGCAGCTCACCGTTATCACAGCGCCAGTTGATGTTGATACAGCGTCCGTTATTGCAGGTGAACTGAGTGAGCGGGAAACAGGTTGGGTATGCTGACGACACAAACATCATCATAAATAATCAATAAAAACATAACATTAACCAATACTCCTTATCCCATATAACCAAAAGCATAATAAAGAATAATAATAATTAAATGCAACATAAAAGTATTTCAAGTGCAAATTTTTGTTGCATGTTGCATGTATTTAATACAAGTATGACTTAGTGACTTTATGCTTTACAAGGTTCAGTTCACAAAAGTTCATATCATCGTTTTTGATTATTTACATTTCCTCGGTTTCCTCATCAGTATGAGTTTTACACAAAGAAATAGCAGTAGTAATATAAGAGCTGTAGTAAATAAAATGGCAATAATAATAATAGTATTAATAGTGATAATAGGAAGCTTTCTTGCAACATAAGCCATTACACTGATAAACAAAATAGATGCAATTCTAAATGTCGATGACATTTACAAAATGCAAATGCATAAAATGAATAAATTCATAAAATGAATCAACCAGTTGCTGAAACTGACAAAACTTGCACTGAACTAGTTTTTCTAAAAGTATCACATGCATACTAATGGCCGAATTTATTAATATTAATACGCTGACATCAGCATAAAGGGGCATAATTTACCACAGGATGCAGGCTCATCGGAGCGGTCCCCACAGTCATCATCCAGGTCACATTTCCAGGAGATGGGAATACAGCGGCCACTGGCGCACGAGTACTGATTGGGCGGACACGTCCGAGCTGCAACAGAGAACCAAAACTCTCAAATCTAAATGTGTGTGGCCATCTGTATGCCAGTAAAATATTCTTTTTTTTTTCAAGTTTAAAATCAGCAGATATACACATGAAAATGTATAGTCCTTCTCTTCCTAGAATTTGAATCCATTTCCAACTGCTTTTCTGTGGAAAGAGTTCATCTTCAATATATCTGCCATGGCATATTCATTTTGTAGAGCTCTTAACATATGTACCTTGGTGTTTTTATGAAAAAAATGCCGTTTTAAAAGTGAAGTAATTTGTAGTGTCTGTTGTAGGATTTCTTATGCATACAAAAATCTCACTGGATTATTACAGTTGTGAATGTTTGTAAGTATAAACTGTTTTTAAAATAAACCTAACTGAATTTACATGGCACAAGCTGATTGGCTTCTCCTGGAGGGTATCTGTCCTGCAGCGGTTAGCTCCAAACCTAATTAAACACACATGAACCAGCTAATCAAGGCCTTCGGACTCACTAGAAACTTCTAGGCAAGCGTGTTGGAGCCGGCTGGAGCTACAGTCTGCTGAAGCACGATTGGATGCCCCCTTATTTAAATTCAATGTTTGCTGTAAGCTGTTCCTTCTTAAGCATCCTTCTGAAACCCTCCACCTCCCCCAGCTCCACCTGTCTAGATCTGCTATGTGATGTACATATGCCTGTCATGCCTATTCATGCACTGTGTAGCAGAACTAGATCACCAAGCCCAAATACATTAACAGCTTCATGTCCATTAACATGTTAAAATAATTCAGAGAATTTTCAAGACTGCAATATAAATATTGCACTTGAATGTTACAAATATGTCCGCACAGAAAAGAAAACTGTGTTTTCAAACCATTTCATTTTATTTCCAAACTCAGTTTCCCAGTTAATTCTGACATTTTATCTAAATTTATATTTTTATGCAATGGCTCTATTGCAGTCTAGAATTACTTGCAAATGCAGCATCATAGTCAGCCATATCCTTAAAATAGATGCAGTCTAATTAAAGAGTGCAAACCATACAATTCAGCCATGAAGTAAAATATAGCACAACAGTTTGACGAAGAGCCCAGAACTGCGTCAGATATACCATGTGAGATAAACTCTATATTTATGTATGGCTGTCTAGAGAATATTTCAGCTGACTCAGAGTTTAGGAGAAGGTCATGACAGAACATCACTACTCAAACCAGCCAAAGAAACTATTTCAGCTGGCCTTCCAGGTGGCATTCATATGATATGAAGATGACAAATACAGCGTTCTGGCATGAAACTCTAGATGGCGCAGTCCGTTAGGACTAACTCAATCTGACCTAATGACATCATTATCACATGGCACAGCTGATTGGTTCTCTCCTGTATTAGTAGCCAATGAGCTCGCTGCTCAACATTCAAATTTATGACTAGTGCTTGCCGTAGCAGTTGCCGCTTTCTTCAGAAACCCTCCACCTTCCCCAGCTCCACCTGTATAGATCTGCTACAAGGACTTTTAGTCTTTGAGGAGACATGAAAAACAGCGCATACCGCAGGAACGGTATAACGGAAAATATTAGTGGTTTTGAAACCATTACATTTTCAAATCGCGGTATACCTTGAAACCGGTAATCGGCCCATGCCTAGCTACAAGGTATTTAATGTATGCTATATGGGGGTTATTTCATGTATGTTATATTAACAGCAGCAATATTTCTTACATGCTCACAGCAGCATGTTGTGGATGTATTGGCAGTAGCAAGTCTCGGTACTTGCTCTGCCGCAGCAGCAGCAGCAGCAGCAGCGTAGCAGATCTATTCTGCCAAGACCAAATACATTTGTACAAATACAAAACATTGTCATGTACATTACCATGCCAATCCCTCCGAGAGTTGTCATGACAGAACTGAAGTTCCAATTATCAAATGTGTGATTAATGTAGATTTAAACATAGACACTCCATATCTGAGATGGACAAAATTTATTGGACCTTTGTGTGTGTGTGTGTGCGATTAAAGTGCACCGCAATAGAAGCATTTCTTGGGTGATTAGGATTTTATTTCCATTGTATCGTGCAGGATAGCTTTGGCCATTGTGAAACTTCATTGGTCAAACTCCAGCTAATTGTTGTCACGAATCCGGTTCATGGTTTTCCGTCTGCTTGCCACCAGAGGTCACTTTTCCGTTACATTGACTCTCACACTACACAGACTGTTGCATGTCACTCCGGACTACAGTTCCCATCATCCATTGTATTGTCTGTGTTTATTACTCTCCTAGTGATAGCAACTTTACGGAGCCATTCCGTGTTTCCGGAGTTTAGTTCCAGTCAGTCCTGTTTAACCTGTGTCTTGATTCTAGCCTGGTTTACCTCGTCCTGTCTGATCTCTGCCTGCCCTGGAATTATCGCCTGTCTGTTGGATTACCCATTTGCCTTGTCCCATGGATCACGTTCGCCGCTGATCGACCCCCGTCTGTTTACTGGACTACTCGTGTGTCTTGCCCATACCATACCTGTTTGCTGGTATTTGACCCTGCCTGTCTTTTGACCATGTCTGTGAATAAAAGCTTGCATATGGATCCGCACGCCTCTCGTCTCGTTCGCCCCGTTACAATTGTATATTACACAGTAAATGTTCTGGTTTTTGATTGCAGTGTGAACTGTAAAAAAAAAGACTTGTCCACTTAGGATACACTGTAAAAAGGCATTTCTCATCAGGTAGTATGGCTAGATTCTGATTCCTGGTCTTGGAACTGACTTAGGAATCAATTCCAAACTGTTGTTTTCAATTCTTTTTTTTTTTTTTATTGGATGAAACATGTTCACCTCCAATCTTGTAACTACATGATATAATGGCTTACCTCCTTCTGAACTTCCTTAGTATTCATTGATTGTTATTAATCTGCACCTATTATCTCTTCATGCATTCTGGAGCGACGCTCAAAACCTTCCACTGTGGAGTTTATGAGAGTTTACTTAATTGTAGGAAACTTCTCCAAGACATAGGCTAATTAATATGTGTCAGTCTATTGTCAGTTCCCAATGACTCAGAAATGAGAAATTCATTCTTTTAGGAATCGAATCCCAGCCCTTCATTTGGGATAGTCATGACATTATATAGGACATTTTCATGATTTATATAAAAAAGGTCAATTCTGGGCATTTCAGTGGTCAAATTAAGAAAATTTTAAAATAGGTTATTTTTTAAAGTCCACAGGGCAAAGCACACCACAGACACACTTATTTACATCAAAGTTGCCAAAATACAATCAAAACAGACTGAATCTTTGGACTTTGTGTGAATAATGTCATAGTGCTGCAAATTCAGATTACTGTGCGTACCTGAGCATGTGGTGTTAGACTCATCTTCATCATTGCCGCAGTCGTTGTCTCCATCACACAGCCAACGCATTGGGATACAGCGGTTATTTTGACACTTAAAGCGGTCTGCAGGGCATGTGTGCTGATCTACAAATGGACAAACAACAAGCACTGCATGTGTTTGGTAGCTCGACACAAGGAGGGAGTTTTAAGTTAAACGTGAGTGTGTTCTTACGGCACAGTTCAGCCGTCTCGTCGCTGTTGTCCAGACAGTCATTGTCTCCGTCGCATTTCCAGCGGTCTTGAATACAGCGGTTATTCTTACAGGCGAACTCTCCCGGCTGACACTGCGGAGGGGGAATGTAAGACGGGTTGGCTGTGGAGAAACACACACACACGAAATGTAAATAAGTCTGCTGAAAGCCAAGCTCTGTAAAAATAAACATCTGAAGAGTTTCTGTTTCAAATATTCAGATACAGAAACCAAACCGCTTGATGTTCAATTCAGCTGATTGTATCACCAGTCAGTCACAACATAAACCCTAGAAATGATGCATTATCTGCCAGTATGATCGAGCAGCTTGCAGGCACAAACAGATTTGCTTCAGCTCAGCAAGCGTTTCTTGCTTTGTTCTCTGTCAGGACTGAATTAACTCTTATCCCGCTGTATTCCTCACATTTCTCACCTGGGTCGCTCTGAATGGAGGTTTCTACCATGTGATTTCCTCAGCAGTAGTTAATCCTCTTGTGAACCAATCCTTAAAAGCCATTTTTAACCATTCATTGTACAAAGTTACATCCAAACCACCATAGTTAATCACCTTTGACACCTAAATTAAAAGTGTGGCAACATGCAGGTTTTGACAATAACTGCAATTGTTAATAAAATGAAACACTGATAACATTTTAATACTACGCATATGATAATATCGTAATTAATCCAGAACCACTACTTGTCTTCCAGCATATTAGGTGGCAGTACTAAAATATTGTTTGCTACCTGTCATAAAACGGAGAAGAACAAGTAGAAGAAGAAGACGCAGTGTGTGGCTACTACTGCCACGCATGTCACTAATTAGTGACCGTTGTTTTGTTTTGATCTCTCCCCTACGCTTCCGTGTTCGTCACTTCTGAGCGGCGCATGCACAAAGCCAACCTCCATACGTCATCCGCCCGGAGCTGCTTCAGTGTACAACAGTGAGAATATGAATATTTTTCTTACAAAAACGCATCGATTCGCTACAGAAGGCCTTTGTTCACCCCCAGGAGCCGTGTGAGACACTTTCTTTTATGGATGGGCGCATTTTATTTAACTGCTTTTGGACTGATGCATGCAACACCCGCTGAGTGCCATGAAACAGCTTGAAAGATCAAAGACAATTTTTAATATAACTCCGACTGGATTCGTCCGAAAGAAGAAAGTCATATACACCTAGGATGACTT